TGGCAATTTGTACTTCATGAAATAATTTAAAAACAAAAGGTGCAAGCCTCCAGTTATAGCATAAGTCCTGGGGCTGTAATGTGCAACGTGGTGACTGTAGTTATTAACTGTTCTCTGCATTTGAAAGTTTCTAAGGAAGTAGATCTTAAAGATTCTCATCACAAGAAAAAAATTGGTAGCTACATGCAGTGATGGCTATTAACTAGACTTATTGTGGTGATCATTTTGCAATATATACAAATATCAAATCATTGTGTTGTATACCTGAAACCAATATCATATTATATGTCAATTATAACTCAATTTTTTAAAAGTAGGGACACTAAAAACTAGCACTCTAAGAAATGCGTTAGCCTTTTCCATGTAAATACACACATTATTCAGGATAAAAAGGCTGGTTTTTGTGACGTTGTTAATAACAACATATCAAGATTGTATACATAAAAAAGAAAAGAAATCAGTGCATCTAAATTTGAAGACTTTTTGAGCTTGAGACCCTAGTATGGATTGATGATCAGCTCTATGGCAGGAAGGGGAAGGGGCACCACCCAACAGAGAGGACCAGTTGCTTGGATAAAGCCAGCTTGGTGTGGTCCTCCGATTTAAATGAGGCTGAGAGTTGTTTTATCAGGGACATTTGGCAACATTTAGAGACATTTTTTGGTTGACACAACTGGGTGGAACAGGGTGCTACTGGTTCTAGTGGGTGGAAGCCAGGGACTCTGCTCAGCATCCTACCACACACAGGACAGTCCCCACACCAAAGACTTTCTGTCCCCAAATGCCAATAGTGCCAAGGTTGAGGGACCCTGCCCCAATCCTACAATAGCTTGTAAGGCCACCATAATATTATTTCTGTCTGTCAATACAAGGAACAGTTTCCAAGAGTTTTAAGTACTTGCTTGTATGGGGAAGAAGCAGGGCACACACCTAGTGTCTGGCTTCCACCCAGCATTTGCCCCAGGATCAAGGAGAAGATGATTACACAAAGGTTCAGACGTCAGTTCTAGTCATAACTTTGTGAGCTCAGGTGGACACTCAAGCTTAAGATTCTTCCTCTATACATGCCTCCTCCTTTTCAAATGCTGTTTATTGGGCTGTGTCTAATGTAGAAGAACTTTGTAGAGACTAAAATCACCTCTTGCTTTTTTCTTTTATTGGTCCAAGTCAAAGCTTTACATACAACTATTTCTGTTTCTTTATTAGAATCTGCTGATCTATTTTAAATGGATTCTTCTCTGAATGTAATTTTGCTCCCAAATATCTCAGTGAAGCTTGGCACAATGAAGTTAAAAAAAAAACACCAACACACATAAAGCAATAAAACAACAAACTTGCCTTTATTATCAAGCCATTGAATCAACTGCCCCTCCTTTTTCCCTGGTTGTTTTGATATTTCACTGAACACATAGTAATGAACCCAACCTCAAATGAACCTAAGTGTTCAGACTAGTTGTTTTAATGCTTTCATGCTGTCCTGATCTGGCCCTGGGCATTTATTAATTTAATTTTCTTTTTTACCTTACCAAGGTTTTGAACTCTATGTTTCTACATCATAAATAACAGAGTTACTCAAAACTCAAGAGGCATCTATTTCTAAAACTTCAAATACATTTTTTAAACTTTAATTATCTAATTGCTTGGCTCTTGTCAAGGTTTAAATTCTTATATACTTTCAACGATCCATTAAGAGTTTTGTTTATAAGGATGTCTTTTCATTATTGAATAATGTAAAGTTATTTTCTTTTGGATTGTTTCTGAGTATAATTTTCCTGAAAAAAAAGTCTAAATTATGTGATTGAAAAGGAAAAAAAAAACAACATGCTAGATAGATTCCTTTCCCTCCCATATACATATATTTATATATGTGCATATTCATATATATATTCACATACATATCTATGTACCTACATATAAAACTTCTGATGGAAGTTTTATATATATATAAATCAGAACTATAAATATTGGTTTAACTGTTTTGTTTCCCCATTATACATTAATCTAAAGACTTAAGTTTACAGCCTTGAGTTTAAAACGATCTATCAGTTACAGAAATGTGTGGTTAATACACGCACACTGCAGTGAGCACTGGGCCTGGCTGGATCATGCCTTTCTGGCATTTGCATTAATGCCCTCAGCTCCTGGCACCTGGAGCTGCTTTAGGCACCACTCTCCCAATCATAGCCTGAGCCAGTGACAAAGCCCAGAGCTCATCTCCACTGCACTGTCATTGAGGAATCCGCCTATGGAAACAGCTCCTCTGGAAATACACTTTTTTTGTATTGAAGGGATGGATGACTCTGGATACAGATAATGAGGATTTGTGAGAGCAGGGGACTAATTTCCCCCAAATTAGCGCATGTGTGTGTTTGGGGGAAGCATTTAAGTTTAGAAAATACACGAGTCTTTAAAGAGAGTGTTGAAGAAAAGTCAGGTAATGTGGGGAAAGGACCCAAATTATTTAAGTTCAGGAGCTTGGAGGAACCATCTTGAAGCATCAGCAAATTGTAGGAAGAACAATTTGTTACCAGAATGTTGACATAAGAGGGACTCCATGAAGGAGACACGCCCTAGCTGATCTCGGAAGTAAAACAAGAGAGTCCTGAAAAAGAAAAGAAGTCAAACTTATACTTTGAATTAGACATCGTTGTGTGCTTATATTTCCCCTAACTACACAGTTTACACTCTAAGATCATCCACAACTTAGTAAATGAATCTTAAACTGGAGAGAGAAATGCCGAAGGTTCTGGTGAAAGCCAATTAGCTTCAAAAGAGCCTTTTAGAAACCCTAGCTGACATACTGTATCCTGGCCCACATAGACTTTTACTCTTGCTCACAAAGTCATCAATCCTCTTTTTTATCAAGCCACACGGTAAAGTCTCTGCCTTTTTGTCTATCGCTATTAGTCTTTAATTTTCACAGACTCAAAGGCAAAGGTATACTCTGGACTCCTCATGAGTTAGGCAAAGCAAGCATGCTTGTTGTAATGTGTGTATCACGTAGGCGGCTAAGGAATGGGTTGCATGCACTGAATCAGATGTTTCACCTTCCAGAGCGGAAAGAAGTTCACTCCTTGTGGAGGGAGAGATTGCTCTGTCTGCCAGTGCTTTCCTGAAAAGGGGTCTCGGGTAAGTGATGTAAACACCACAAGGACACTGGGGCGGGGG